AGATGTGGGCTATCACACTGTGGTATTAGCTAATGGGATCCAGTTGGCCAGTAAAAAAAGATAAGCACAGATAAACTGACCAAAAATGCTAATGTTTGGAAGGCCATAACGATCGGTGTCATTTTGTAATGCACGAAATATCTACATTGTTGTACTAGGCAAATCCTGTAGATATGAAAAAGTATAAACGTTACGTATGTCTAAGGTGTTTTTGTTGCACTATTGACAGTTGTCAAATCGTGACCCGGTATATGCCGTATTTTAGAGAATAACGTGTTCTACGGTGACCTGCGGTTCGGCTGGATTCGGGAATGCTCGGACGCGGTCGGATGTAAACAAACATGGCCGCGATCCGCGCTAGCGCTGCAGAGTGCGCAGTTTTCCAACGCGTATTTGCGGCGAAACGACGTTGATATGTTAATCCCCAAATGTCATCATGAAGTCAGGTAGGTGTAAAGCGCAAGAAAATGTGTAAAAGAAAGATTTCTAAAATAGTCAAAAATTCTACATAATATAGCTTTAACATCTGCACATAGTCATACCATGTTGACAGTATTGAACTGCATTCAAGCGTTTTGGGGTAGAGATGTAAAACTTTCTTTCTCAAGCACTGGAATTCGTGACATAAACGCTTTTTTTAAATCTTGAAAATCAACAGTATTATGCAAATAAATCCTAACCAATAATGTAGGGAATAGCTATCCAACTGTTGCATTCTTAGTTATATGTCACTTCATACTATATTTATATCAATATAAAGCATTGTTTTCCCTTGTATTTCTCCTTCTTTCCCTGCCACGTCGTGAAACGTGGTGAAGTCATGCTACATTTGCTCCAAAGGAGATGTCGGCCTTTCTAGTTTATTTGATATATTATTATATATTATTATATAGTATTATATATATTATATATCTTATTTCTGCCAGCACTTTAGTATGATTGTTACTGATTCCTACTGTAAAAACGCATTACTATGCATCAGTATTGTTTGTGTTAAAGCATATTAACAACATAAGTTATATGTATGTTATATTAGTTCTGTTTGGCGGCCATTAAAGTTGAAACGACTAGAATTAATACTACTACTAACAACCCACTGCCCCTATGGCCTGAAAAAGGCTATAGAAGGTCCTAAAACAGATTACAATACGATGTAAAAGCAGTGAAAATATTTAATTGTTGTTGCAGTAACTACTGGCATACTAGTATACATATTCCAAGAAATCATCTAACTTCAGTTGGTGGGGTAGCAACAAGAGGTGGGGGGGGGCATGTAATAGAAGTGTAACAGTGGGGGTTTATAGGTGCTACCAACGGCCAACGGGTCTAGACCTTTTAGCGGAGAGGTGAGAGCGTCTGGTTATGAAGCTCAGGAGGTGGTGCCCAGGAGGTGGTGGGTTCGAACCCAGGCCCGGGACCAGAAGGGTTTTTACTGGCTCCTCCTGTTTCTTACAGAAGGATCAACATCTTCCTCACTAACCTCTGCTTGGAGAGTAATAACTTCAATAAAATCACATCTAGAGAATCACAAACTGTGCAGCGTAACAAAATTCTAGAGAACTGTTTAAGCTGAGAACTTCTCAGGAAAATAATTGAATCAACAGTTAGTAAGAAATATTTACTCAACAATAACTTTTAAAACTCCAATTTAATTTGTTGGTTGTTGAATTTATTCTTGAACAATGAATTTGAACTTATAACCAAACCAATTCAATGATAGATGGAACTGGCAGATATCGTAAAAGGGCAAGGAGGAAAACTTGAATTTGACTGTATTTACTAACAAAAAGAGTGGACTAAAACATAAACAAAAGACTTAGGTCTTGTTTTCATTATATTTTTCTAGCTGAAGCTATTTTTCGAAAGCCGAGAAACAATGAATGAAATTGGCATGGCCTTAACACTACTATGCATTCTAGCTAGCTTAAAACAAGTAAATATACTGCGGTTATAACTTAGTGCACCCAAAATTGGAGCTGTGCACCTAATTGTTTTTTTCTGTGGGTGCACTGGTGCACCCAAATATTTTTGCAGGAATTTCTAACATTAGAAATGTATAATAGTATACCGGATATTCCAAAAAAAACAGTTACTCAAGCAACTGGATATGATTTTGAAAACGTCAGACGTTTCAGCTAGTATCCACTAGCTTTCGTCAGTGACTGAGAGACCAGAGGGGAAAGCAGGTTTATATACACAACCTGTTGATTGATATGCAAATAAAGTGAAGACAAATTTTTGGAAGTCGAAAAAGGAACAAAAGTCAGACAAGTCAAGACAAGATGATGCAAATTAGTCTGAAAGCTCCTGTTATACAGGACAGGAGCTTAAGTGTTGTCTGTCCTCGGGGCTGGGAGTGCCAAATCCCAAGTGCCGGAAAGATCGACCCGTAGCCCCCCTTCCCTGTTGAGGGTGGGGTTGTACATTCTTTCATATATTGCCTCTTTAACACCCCGTTCCCACCAGCGTGTTTCGCGGTCTAAGACATCCGTGGACTCGAGTTTGAAAGAG